TGTGTATATACTATAAATATATTTTATCATCATATATATATATATATATATATATATATATATATATATATATATATACTATGTAACCTTTCTCCTCATATACACAATAAAATAGATTCTTTCACAATTTATTTATACCTTCTTATGGTGTCAAAGCATCGATCTTGGTGACTCTATAAAATCTAGACTGACCTTTCACAATTATCAAAATAATATTTATGGCTAACAACAAAGAAGTTATGGATGAAAATCCACTCACGTTACACAGCTCAGATAACCCCAGTCTTATCTTAGTCTCTAAACTCCTTGAGCCACATAACTACAAACAATGGAGTCGAGCCATGCACATCAGTGTTAGTGCAAAGAATAAAATTGGGCTAATTGATGGATCCATCAAAAGGAAATCATTTATAGACAAAGACTTCCATCCTGGCAATGTTGCAATGACATGATATTGAATTCAATTAGCCTAGAAATTGCTTCCAATGTTATCTACATGGACATAGCAACAGACACATGGAAAAATCCTTTTGATCAATTTTTACAAGGAAACAAATCAAGGGTCTACCAAATTCAACAAGAAATTGTTAAACATCGACAAGGTACAAATTCAATCTCAGTCTACTACAATAGGAAGAAAGCTTTATGGGATGAGTTGGCTGGCCTTCTACTAGGAACCATTCATCTACACACGTGGCAGACTTAAGAAAATCAATGCAAGGATGGAGAAGGCGAAGTTGATGCAATTCCTTATGGGATTGAATGAAATCTATGCTACAGTGAGAAACAACATCTTGATGATGAAACCATTGCCAAGTTTTCAACAAGTTTTTTCCATGGCCCTACAACATGAATGGCAACTCGATGTTGTCACACAACTTGAAGGAACTAGTAACAACTTCCACGCTATGGCTGTGAGTCAAGCAGGTAAAACACCCAAAGACAATGACATATGCAAAAATTCTTTCTCTTACACTAGAGGATCATGAAGAAAATACTTAAGTGCACGTATTGTAATATGGAGGAACACAAAGTGGAAAATTGTTATTATTTAAATGGTTTTTATAGTGCGTCACAAATTTCATGGAAAAATATCCAACCTAGAAAAAGAGAGTTGTTGCCAACAATTCCACTAAATCAGAAGTTTTTAAAGCATAAGAGGGTCCAACTTTCACAACTAAAGAATACAATCAAATAATGGTCATGTTTAATGAGAAGAATGATAATGTTTTTGCAAATGTTATAGGTAAACAAAATTATCCTACTAATCTATTTTGGATAGTTGATAATGGGGACATAAATCATATTTATAGTATATAACCCACAAATTAAGTCTTTTGATTTTATAAATTTTCTTGATGTGTGAAAGGCACAAATCAATTCTAATGGGTCATTCACATTCTGCAAATTAAAAACTTGATGGAGTTTTACATGTACCAAAATTCAGGGTCAATTTACTTTCTACGAGCAAACTTACTCAATTTTTGAGACGCATAGTAACTTTTTTCCCATATTTTTGTGTGATATAAGACATGGGTACGAAAAGGATGGTTGGCCTAGGCAAACAGTATAATGGTCTTTACTATCTCTCACCAAAACAAAACTCCCATCTTATTCATCGTATCAGCAATGCATCTAGTCTATGGCACCAAAGACTTGGTCATCTTTCCACCACACCTCATCAAGCATTGTCCAAGTATACACCAAAAATAAATTTTGATAATAAACATGTTTGTGAAGTTTGTCCATTAGCCAAACAAACTCGTTTACATTTTCCTTCCAATTCTATTTCATCAAATGCACCTTTTGATTTAGTCAATTGTGATATTTGGGAGCCTCATAAAATAAATTCTCATATGGGCAGAATATTTCCTCACTATTATTGATGATTTTACATGGGTTCACCTTATGACATTTAAATTGAAAGCTCAATCTTTATTGAAATTTTCTTTTTGTGGGTCAAAACTCAATTTAATTGTGGATTTAAAAATTTTCATTCCAATAATGGGGCTAAATTTTTATCTATGGTGTCATTTTTCAATGATCATGGTATAATTTTTCATTGCACTTATCCTTATACTCCTCAACAAAAT